CCCCTGGCGGACGCCCTGCTACGACAGCGATGACGCCACCCCCCGGAGTGTCTCCAGCCTCTCCAACCGCTCCTCCCCGCTGTCCTGGCGCTACGGGCAGTCCAGCCCGCGCCTGCAGGCAGGAGACGCGCCGTCGGTCGGGGGGACCTGCCGCTCCGAGGGTACCCCCAGTTGGTACATGCACGGCGAGCGGGCACACTACTCGCACACCATGCCCATGCGCAGCCCCAGTAAGCTGAGCCACATCTCCCGCCTGGAGCTGGTTGAGGCACTGGACACCGATGATGTGGAGCTGAAGTCGGGGTACATGAGTGACAGCGATCTGATGGGGAAAACGCTGACAGAGGATGACGACATCACCACAGGGTAAGTGCCTGCGCCAGGGCTTCTGCCCAAAACAGGGCTCTCCTGGAGGTTTCACCTCCTCCTGTTTGGCCAGCAGCAGAGAGGCACTGGGCGCCGGGAGGGTGGATGGAGGAGCACATAGATCATGGCCAATCTGGCTGGGTGGATTGTGTCCCTGCATCCCAGGATGTGCTTTCCCCCCAGTGAGGCAGTGCTCGTGACGCTGGGCCAGCTGGGGTTGCTCATGGCCAGTGAGTCCCCGAGCTGGGGTGTGCTGCTCTCCTGGCATGCGGGAAGTGTTCAGCTTGGTCTGGGTGTTCCTGAGCAAGGGGCTGAGAGAGGCGCATGGTGTGTGGCTGCGGGAGCCCTGGACCAGAGCCCTGCTCGGGTAAATACTGCTGCTTTCAGGAGCATTCTCTCAGTTTACACCAGTGGGCCTGAGCTTCTGTCTCTGATCCTGGCACTGCAGGGATGTCCTGCGTCCTGCTGGGAGTGCTGGTGGCCCGTGGTGGGATAGGCTGGGTCAGGTCTCAGCACCCCAGCAAGAACTGGGCACCGAGGTGTCATTGCTGATGGGTGGCACCATGGTGGAGAAGGGTGCTCTGCTGAGTGGGGTCCCTCCTGTTGGGATCCCCATCGGCCTCTGTCCCTCCTCCTGCGGGGCCAGGGGCATCTCCTGCCGAGTGGACACAAACCAGTACGCCCAGGGCTTGCATTTTCTTTCCAGACGTATCCAGCTCCCACTGCGCTGTTGAGGTGCCCCTGGCTCTGGCGGGGGTCGGGATTTCAGCACGTTGGAGGTTTCCTGTTTCAGCACAGGAGAAAATAAATAACTCTGGCATTTGAGTTGTCCCAGAGCAGGAAGTATTTGGCCTCCTGACAGTGCTGCTCTGGCCCTCCTGGGGTGGCCATAGTCACATCAGCTCATTGCAGGACAGAGCACAGCCTGTGACTTCACACCCATCCTGTGGGCCAGCGCTCCTCAGATGTGTCCCAGAGGCACATGTGACAGTTAGAGGGGGACACACTGAGGGGTGTCTGTGCTGGCCTCTGCCTCTGCGATGCTCCAGCTTAGGGGCGAGAGTTTCTGTGGCAGCACGGGCGTCAGACCTGTCCTCCCCACGGGCAGGCGGGGTGGCCCTGTGGGGGCTGCCCTGTGCTTGTGAACAGGGGTGTCTTGTGCTGGCTCAGCATGGATCCCTCCTGGGGACTGTAAGTCATCACTCAGCAGCCAGAGATGGCATGACACCACCTTCTGCCACTGGCCACCAGACTGTGGGGCCTGATGGGTGACGGGGTGACTCTGGGGTGCCCTGGATGGCTGGGGCTGCAGCGGATCTGGCTGGCGGGGATGAAGGGCTCCACTGCTCCCTGTCTTTCTCCTTGTCTTGTCTCAGAGCTGCTCGTGCAGACGGATAACCTTGGGGAGCCCTTGGCTGTGGAGGCAGTGCTGAGAGGGGGTGAGCCAGAGCTTCGCTTCCTCTCCATTGGCCACTGAGTGGGGCAGAGTGTGGGCAGGGGCAGCCCCAGTGGGACCTTCCTCGGGCTCAGCCCTGAACACTGGGCAGGGTCTGCTTCTCCTCCCGGGAAGGGCCAAGCCTTGGGGATGGAGCTGGACACGGCTGAGCTTCCCATGAGGCCCTGGCAGCACCGCAGTCCCCTGGTGCAGGTGAGGCATTCAGTGCCATGGCAAGCTGTGCCGGCACTGCCATGGCCGGGTGTTGCAGTCCCTGTTCTGTGCAGGGTCCCCAGTGTGATGCCCTGGCTGTGACCTGAGGGAAATCCCCAGTGTCCTGCCGGTGGGTGCAGAGAGGGGCTAGTGCCCTGTGCTGGGTATCCCTCCCCAGGGGTGGGCGGAGAAGGGCAGTCGGGGCAGCACAGGACCATCTTATCAGCAGGGACATGTCCTTGGAGTTAGCCGTGTCACTGGAATGTTGCTGGCACACAGGGCCATGCAGTGACCTACTCACAGCTCCATCCCCTGTGGCCCCGCGACAGGGCTCAGGGGGTCCCACAGAGCAGGCAGCGTGACAGGGCCTCTGTCCCCAGGGGATGTCCCTGGCTGGGTGCTGGGGGATGCTGGGGTGCCCTGTCCAGCAGCCGGGGCACTGGGTGCAGAGCCAGGGCAGGGGAGCAGGGACATCCCCTTCTTCCCAGAGCCGGCCAAGGCGAGGAGCCGCCTTGCCGGCTGGGAGCACTCATCCAGCGCAGCCCCTCACCCAGCCTCCTCGGCTGGCTCTGACCTAGAAAGCAAATACCGCCCCAGGCTTCGTCTCCCCGTGCCGCTAATGCACCGGGCAGGATCCGAGTGCTGCAGATGGGGCCATCAGCCCCCGAGCCCAGGCCACCGGGCTAGTGCCTCCCTGCACCGCGCCGGCGCAGACCCAGGCTTGTAGGGCAGTAGGTCAGAGCCAGCTCGGAGGACGCAGTGGCACGTCCCCCTCGGAGAGGTGCAGGGCCACAGAATGGGACCCAGCGTCCCTGCGGCTCGCTGGGGAACCAGCCTGGAAGGAGAGAGTGCCAAGGTAGGTGAGGCACGGCCGGGTCGTGAGGACTGTCCGTGGGGATATCGGGGTGAACCCGGCAGGGTGGTAGTTGAGGTAAGCCTAGCTGAGATGGCAGTGGCGGGCCTGGGGCCCAGCTCACAGAGGAGGGGGGATGATCAGGTCTGGTGGTGAGAGCAGGGATCAGCCGGGGACACCTCAGCCACCAGCAGCATTTCTGTATTGGCCAAACATGCTGGCATCCTGGCTCCTTGCCCGCCTGTGCCCACCTGCCTGTGGCTGCTGGGCCGGCACTTGCGGCTGCCCTCCACCAGCAACCTGCTGCTGGTTTTGGGGGGTGAAAGTGCTGGCTTTGCCCTCCCTGTTTGGCAGCAAGGCCCTTCTTTTGTTCCTGGTGTCACCGTATCCTCCTTGTGCTCCGCAGCAGGGCAGCCCTTGGCCGGCAGGGACCCGGCATAACCGGGGCTGGGAGCAGCCCTGCTGGGATGCGTCCTTGCCGCTGCTGGCACCGTGGTGTTTGAAGGGCCTTGGTGCAGGCAGCGAGTTCAGGTTGACACAGCAGCATTCACCGGGATGGTGCTGCGCTACTGCCCTGTCCTGCCTGTCCCTGGGGTCTGGGCAGGGCACAGGCAGGGACAGCACCAACCCCTGGGCTGTTCCCCTGCCCCTGAAAGATCTTCGCTCCCTTCCTTGGCCGCCGTCAACTCAGGTTTCCACCCGGCACCGCTCAGCGTGCCGCTCGCTGTTCCCTGCTCCTGATGCCAGCCCCTGGAGGGGTGCGGTGCGTTGCGGCCAGTGATGCTTTCCCACCCTGGCAGGCCGGGGATGTTTCCCAGACCCAGGGGGTCACCCCGCCAAGGTCACCCTGCTGGGAGGTCCACCAGCATGCAGCTACCCACTGCCGAGGGACCTCTGTGGCAGTACGGCTACTGCACAGCACTGGGGCTGCGATGCAGCAGCACGGGTGCCTTCGTGTGCAGACCTGCGTGTGAATCAGGCAGCAGTGGAGGAGGCGGAGAGCGGGAATGTTCAAGCCAGGTTTTGCCCAGTCTCGTCCCGGCCACATCCTGCATGTCCGAGCGGTTCCACCTCCTCCACGTGGAGCCGCCGTTCCCCGGGCAGCGCAGCGCGGCTGCGTGTTGGTGCTTCTCCCCCGGTGCTGTGTGTGCTCAGGGACCTGATGTGAGCGGCTCTGGTGGGTGCTGCGTGCTGGCACAGGAGTGGGTGAGGATGCATCACCCCCGGGTGTTCCCTGCGGCCATCCAGGACGTGGTGGGGAGCGAGTGGGGTGTTGAGAGGCTTTACTGAGGTCGGGAGCTGGTGGGGTGCGCTGGTTCCCACCCCCCAGCCCTGCCTTCTTGAGGCCATGGGGCTTCCCCCCTCCCACACAGGACAGAATCCTGGGCTGAGGGGTGACAAGAGCGTCCGATTGTCCCTGCTTTGCACCACTCTGCCATGTCTCCTGGGCTTGGAGAGTGCCTTGCATGATGTCCTTTCTGCCACCCTCCTTTTGTCAGACCCTTTGTCAGCTGGCCCGTTTCCCAGCCGCTTCCCTGCACATGGTGATGCTGCCACAGGGGTGCTGGGATGCTCTGGATGTCCCCGGAGGTGTCCATCAGGCCACCATGTGCAGTGCTGAGTGCTCAACAGGGTCTGAGCATCTCCCTGTGGTGCACCTCATGCTGTGGGGCAGCAGGGAGCACCGGGTGGAGGTTGAAGGGACCTTGTTGTGTAGTCTTGGCTGTGCCTTAGTTTCCCTCAGTCCATCCTGCCGGCTGTGAGCGGGTCAGGGCAGGGCGTACCCAGGTTGTGGCAGGGGAGAGCCGCTCTTGGTGGGGTTAGCAGGGTGTGGAGGAGGAGGAGCACCTCTCCCTGGCTCTGGTACACGAGGTGACATATGGGGACGCAAAACCTCAGCTGAGCTGTGTGCAGCAGCATGGTGCTTCTGGGATGGGCCGCTCCCCAGATAAAATCCCCAGTGACAAATTGGGACAAGCTGGTTCCATCCTTGGAGCTGCTTAAATACCCTGGGGTGGCAGAGTCCTGTGACCGGTTTTGACCTTGGCAGAGGGCACACAAGGATACCCAGGCTGGACTCATCCTGCCCCTCCGGCAGAGCACGGGTGCTGCTGGGCCCGATCCTGCCATCCCCACACACAGGGCTGGGAGAGCGGGGAGGGGGCGAGCCGGGCTGGCTGCTGACTCAGCGCCTTCTCACTGCGGTGGCTGCGGGGGGGCCGGTGG